AGTGCTGAAAAAGTGTTGAAAAATGCCATCATGCGTATGATAGAATATAGATTATTCGTTCGATGGAGGGCGAAATTATTCGATAGATTATTCGTTCGAAGAATCCGTGTTCGGTTTAAACACTAAAAATTATGTTAATCTCTTCAGCAGTTAACATGTGTTGGTGGCTAACAAATTGGTCATGTGATGGCCTGACCAAGCGGATCGGTTTCAGCGGCCTGAGCATGTATAGTTGTAACCCTGGCGACATACTAGTAGCGTGGCACTGTTGGCGTTCACGCTTTGGCCGACCTCTTTTCAAAATTGAAAGCTCCAGTGTACAGTGCATGGTTCAACTGAAAGATGGTCAGCCCACCTTGACTTTGTGCTGAAGAAAGCCGTAAAATCTTTTAATATTCTCTTTAGGCTGAAATCAACTCTACACACTAAATCACTCTCTCTCTCATTTACAAAACGTATATCCTGCCTATAATTGAATATGCATGCATTGCTGTCACCCCGCTCTCAATCGCATCCCTTGACCGTCTTGAGCGAATCCAGCGCAAGGCGGCCAGAATCTGCCTCCGTCTCCCCCTCTACACTCCTCTGAATCATTCAACACTGCTCCATCGGCTCAAATGGCCGACAATGTTCTCTCGCCGCAAAGTGAAGCTCACCCTTCTTGCTCACTCCATAAAATACCAATATGCCCCACAACACATACGCTTGCTTAACACCCCCGCTCAAGTTACGGCCCAGTACAGCCTTCGACACGCACGCACTTGGCACCTCCCACCCTCCAGAACCAATCGCTGTAAAGACTCTCCACTGTACAAGTCCCTAGCATACTACAATGCCCTCCCTGCTAGCATTCGTGACGTCTCCTCCCGACCTGCTTTCAAACAAGAAATCTGCTCACTGCTGATTAACTCAATCTGCTCCTGCAGCGCTCACCCTCTCTCATACTTGTAAAGTTCAAAGTGATGTAAATCACTTTCCAACTGTTTAACCCACAATCTCACCTTCTCATAAATGTATCTCTTATTGGCGATGGTGCCATCGTGAGAATAAAGAATTCAAACTGCCATCGTGAGAATAAAGAATTCAAAAAAAAACTGTTCAACACCCATACCGCAAGTCTACAAATTTTCAGCGTGTTCAAATTTCGGTCTCCCAAACCTAAAACCCATTAAAATTATGGCCTCCCAGGGCTAAAACCCATTAAAATTTCAGCCTCCCAGGGCTAAAACCCATTAAAAAATTTCAGCCTCCCAGGGCTAAAACCCATTAAAATTTCGGCTTGTACTGCTGCTGCCTGGATGGTGATAAAAAATTTCACCTCGGCTTTGGCAATGTACTAGTATCAACCCCGTGCCAATATGACGAAACTTTGCAGTGCCCACATGTTGTATATTTACAGTATCTGTGTGTGTGTGTGTGTGTGTGTGTGTGTGTGTGTGTGTGTGTGCGTGTGTGTGCGTGTGTGTGTGTGTATATGTTTGTTTGTAGGGTTTGGAAGACCAGCTGTTGAGTGTTATCGTGGCTCACGAGAAGAAAGAACTCGAGGCACAGAGAGAGTCGCTGATCCAAGAAACCAGGTCAGTGGAATACCAGGACACCCTAGTCTGTAATGCCGTACTTTCGGGAGTATAAGCCGCACTGGAGTATACGCCACATTCAGATTTTTTTGTCACGAAATACAGACATCTACCCTGTTCAAAATGCAGTTGTGTGATGTCCACCACTTTCTGAGTACCCCGTTGACCACCTGTTAATTTGACCATCCTAGATTTCAGGTCCACAATGTTTGTGATGACATGGCATTGTAGAGGACAAGCAGAAGTAGAACTTACGTTTAAGCATCGCAGTGAGGTTGTGTGGGAGGGGTGCTGGTGGAGATATATTCAAAGAGGTGCCTGTTCATGCCGAGCACAACCGCTGAACACCGAATACTGGTCTCGTAGGTACAGTCAACTTCGCTAATAACGACTGAAGATATAACGACAATTCGCGAATAACGACAGAATTTCCATGCCCAGAGCAAAGTCCATACTACCTGTATACATATAATGAGACTTCGGGTATAATGAAACTTTGCGAATAAGGACACTTTTCTGACGCAACGCCGAGTGTCGTTATACGCAATGTTGACTGTACATATATGTGGTTGTAGTGCCTGATGGTGTCTGTTGCAGCGCTTGGCTAACGCACGTGTGTTTGTAGGTGCATGCAACTGGGTTCTAGTATCCCGAAGTGTGTGTCCGTGTCTGTGTCCGTGTCTGTGTGTGTGTTTGTGTGTGTGTGTGTGTTTCTGTGTGTGTCTGTGTCTGTGTGTGCATGTGTGAGTGTGTGTGTGTGTTCGTGCGTATGTGCGTGCGTGCATATGTGTGTGTGTTCACATGTGCATGCCTGAACCTGTCTGTGCATATGGCTTTACGTATGTGTGTGTGTGTGTGTGTGTTTGTGTGTGTGTGTGTGTCCACGTGCCCAGTGATAACAAACGTCTGCTGAAGGACCTGGAGGACACTCTGCTGAGAGAGCTGGCCGCGTCCACGGGTAACATGCTGGACAATGAGGAGCTAATTGCCACGCTGGAAAACACAAAGACCAAGGCCACGGAAGTAAGTGCAGTCGACTCCACTTATAAGAAACTCGCATATAGCAAATTTCGTGATACAGCCAACTCTTGTCCATGTCCCTGTTTGGATCCAGGCGCGTAAAGCCGTATCGCAAAACTCGCAAAAAAAGCAGCTAGAGTTTGCCGTACAATGTCCGCAAAACAGGATAATACGTATCGCAAAGTGCCTGCGTTCAACGTTACGTTCATCATATCCATGTGTCGATGCGTGGACTGGACTTGTACACGTGGCGGGTAGATCCTTCACACATGTTTTCTAGATCTACATGTATGCCAGTCTTGAAATTTGTTGTACATGCGGCATTTCTGTTGTAAAGAACTAATTCTCCTGCACAATGGTGTTTGATATATCAGGAGTCAACTGTATATTGACATGGCACGTGATTTGCATGTACGGTTGTGACCAAAGACATCTGACTCAGGAGCCGAAAGCAGCACAGGATTTCCGTGGCCGTGACTGTAAACTCCCATCGTTGTTAGCTCTTTCTCTGCCAAAGCTGCATTGATGCGCCTGGCCCAATTGTCATCCGGTCCAGTATAGTCTACAGGGGGGGTCCAGCAATGTCTACAGGGGGGATCCAGCAATGTCTACAGGGGGGGGGGGGGGTCCAGTATAGTCTACAGGGGGGGATCCAGCAATGTCTACAGGGGGGATCCAGCAATGTCTACAGGGGGGATCCAGCAATGTCTACAGGGGGGGGGGGTTCCAGTATAGTCAAAACTGAGTACCGGAAGCTGATACATGACACGCATATGGTTGCCAGGAATACGTTTATGAAATTTAGGAGGTTCCGCGGAACCCCTGGAGCCCCTCCTGGATCCGCCCCTGTATGTGGATGTGATCAGTGTATCGGAGTGCGAGAAGAAGACGCCTCCAGGCCCGAAGCCGGCTTGTGAGTGGTGGTACGACCCCAGGTCGGCTACAGGATCTATTATTTCCCCATGCCCAATTTCAAATCCTGGGAGGATACATCTCTGGCTCTATGCATCTTGTGATTATTCATGTCTGTTTGTTTCAGCCACTTGGTACACATTCCTCTAGCAACAGACATGACAGCAAGGAATGTTTGAGGATAGCTTATGACTAATACCGTAAAATCCCGCCAGAGCGCACCGTCTCTCCCATCCGCCCCTCCCTGACTTCTTGTCCGTGAAGTGATTGCTTGTATCCTCGTATGACTCTGTGATGCCGTACTGTACTGCAGACGGGTGCTCGACCCCGTTGGAAATGTACGCAACAGTGCCCACCCTCTTGACCAGGGATCGCACGAACCCTGAGAGTTTTGAGGGTTCTGAACGACTCCTGGCTCTTGACCTTTGTTCGGCGTACGAGATGCACGATCAGTTTTCGTAGGGGGAGTACTTTTTCGTGTAGCACTGAATGCGGCAAGTAGGACTCGCCCATCCGCCCCTCCTAACCTGAACCTACTCGTAGCGTCGAGGAGGTAGGGGCGTAAGGGTGCTCTGGCGGGCTTTCACGGTACTTGCAGATATTCATTTGCTTACTGAGCAGACCATGAACTCTGGAATTGGTAAAAACTGGCACAACCATGGCCTTCAGGGCCGTAGCACCCGATCCAGCCAATTCGGCCAGCCCACCCTGTCGCGTCATGACAGTTAGCCCACCCAATTTGTGCACGCTGGTACTGTGGATTAAGGGCTGGAAACCAGGCAGTCCTTGATTGAATAAGGTTCATTTCCGGGTTAAGTATTTCATTTGGCCGGACCTCCTGAAACCCCCAGTGCTACAGCCATGTACTCAGCAGGTTTTGGTTGGAAAGACCGACACTGTCTGTTCCCGCTGCTTGTGTGTGTGTGTTCTCACTGCTTGCGTCTGTTCCCACTGCTTGCTTCCGTCTGTTCAGGTCACGGAGAAGCTAGAGTTAGCCGGCAAGACGTCAGCAGAAGTGGATGTGCTGCGTGATGGCTATCGTCCTGCGGCCAAACGCGGTGCCGTACTCTTCTTCGTCCTGTCTGAAATGGCCGCCATCAACGTCATGTACCAGTACTCGCTGGCTAGTTTCCTGGACGTGTTTAACCTGTCACTGCGCAAGTCACTGCCCAACCCTCACCTGCACAAGCGTCTCAATAACATCATGGATACGCTGACCATCAATGTGTATAATTATGCGTGTACCGGTGAGTGAAAGTGTGTGAGGGGGGGGGGGGTGTTTTGTGCAGGTGTGTGTGTGCGTGTATTATTATGAGTACGCTTGCATGTGTGCATGTGTGTGTGTGCGTGCGTGCGTGCGTGCGTGTGCACACTCCTGTTTCTTCTCTTTCTCTTTCTGGGTGGGGTGTTGGGGGGGGGGGGGGGGGGGGGGGTGAGTACATGCATTCGGGCCATTTGCATCCAATCATGCACACTTATTTCCTTTTCAACTGTTGATATTCACTCAGATTGTGTCTGGTGGTGATAGCTGCAATACTTGTGCCCGCCATTGTAATCACCTGTTGGTGACCTGTCTGTGTTTCTGTCTTCTCTGTCGGTTAGGTTTGTTTGAGGAGCACAAGCTACTCTTCTCATTCCAGATGACAATCAAGTTGGACGAGGCCAGCGGAGAAATGAAACAAGACGAACTTGACTTCTTCGTCAAGGTGCGGTTTCACGAGTCGCTGCAACTAGCGGGCGCAATACTCGAGTGCTTTGGGCAACTGTCATCTCTAGTTCTCTCTCTCTTTCTCTCTCTCTTTTCTCTCTCTCTCACACACTCTCTCTCTCTCTCTCTCTCTCTCTCTGTGTCTCTCTGTCTCTCTCTCTGTCTCTCTCTGTCTCTCTCTGTCTCTCTCTCTCTCTGTCTGTCTCTCTCTCTCTCTCTTTCTCTCTCTCTCTCTCTCTCTCTCTCTCTCTCTCTCTCTCTCTCTCTCTCTCTCTCTCTCTCTCTCTCTCTCTCTCTCTCTCTCTCTCTCTCTCTCTCTCTCTCTCTCTCTCTTGTTCTTCCTTTAGTTATCTCAGTCTTTCTTTCTTGAACTCTCTGCAAGTAGGGTAGCGTTCACACAGATGCTTGATTTGACCAACCATCACCATGCCAACACAGAGCACTCATCACCATCAGGTCTTTGGCGTATGGTTTCACTGCGTTCACCCCTACCTATTCAGTTCTAACTAATACATGGACACAATCGCCCTGTCTTCTGCCAAAGCTGGTCTCTCGCTGTGGACTGGAAGATTCACCAGCCTTTAGTTGAGTGTCAGTATACACACATAACAAACATTTATAAAATAAAACTTATACCGCTTGCATGTCTTTATTTCTATACATTTTCTCATATAATTTCCTTCATCTTTCTGTGAGAACCGGACCTACGGGATGGTGTGCAATTGGTGAAGTAAAATAAATGTCAACACCAACAACACCAGCGGGTGCAGGTTGAAGGCACAACATCCTCCTTCATTCCAATTCCAGCGGGAGTGCCTCAGGGCTCTGTCCTGGGACCACTTCTGCTCCTGGCATACACCATTGACCCGCCCACTGCCTGTGAAAATGCTACAGCCTCGTGTAGCCAGTTCGCGGATGACACTGCACTGATTGCCATTGCAGGCAGTTACATTGGGTGTGAGGCTGCGCTACAAAGAAGCATCGATGCCGCAGCAGAATGGCTAGAGCGCTGGCACCTGCTAGTCAATAAAGCGAACACCGTCATCCTCCCGTTCCACCATGCTAACCGATCCCCACCACGACTACCCGAAATAAGACTTGGGCAAACCCTACTAGAAACAGTAACACAACATCGTCACCTTGGCATAATATCCCAACATGACCTGCGCTGGACAAAACACTTCGATAGTACTATAGTGAATCACTTAAGTCATTCAACTTGCTATTCCGCCTAAGATCAACTCTGACCACTTCTGCTCTTGCAACAATCTATACTTGACGCATCCTACCCCTGTACTCTTATGCAAACATCGCTGTAACCCCCATCTCCCACACTACCTTAGACAAGCTAGAGAGAATCCAGCGGAAAGCCGCACGATTATGCCTCCGCCGCCCCCTCTACACCCTTATTAACCACTCTGACCTTCTACACCGCATGAAATGGCCCACTCTCTTCTCCCGCTTTAAAGTTAAACACATAGCGTTTGCTCACTCCATCCACCACCATTACGCCCCGCCTCATATTCTAATGTTTGCAACCCCAAATCCTGTCAATACAGGCTAAAGCTTCAGGAACACTGGCACTTGGCATTTGCCAACTGCAAGAACCGACCACTGCCTGGGTTCCCCTCTGTACAAATCTCCAATATTTCAATGGCCTCACATCAATGTTACGCGATATTCAATCAGCAGCTTTGTTTAAGCAAAATAGATCAACCCTGCTGCTCAATTCAATCTGCTCCTGCACGATCCACGCTCACCCGTACATCTAGTTTGATCACTGCTAGCCATGAAGCTTCCGCATCATACTAATCTCACTCTAGTTATTATCTCTTATTGGCCACAGGCCATCGAGAGAATAAAGCTTTGAAACAGTGCACGTGAAATACTCTGTTGTCTGTCTGTCTGATGTAAGCTATTGCGATGTGTTTTCCGTTTGTTTTGCGTATTGTTGTTGTGTTGATGTTCTTTTAGGGTAACATTGCACTGGAGAAGACACCGCGTGCTAAGCCGTATCCATGGATACCTGACCAGGGCTGGGAGGACATACAGCGACTGATGGAGGTACGAGCTGGTGATTTTTTCTGTTTGTTGCTCTTGCTGCTGCTGCTGTTGCTGCTGCTCCTGCTGCTGCTGTTGCTGCTGCTTTTGAACTGCTGCTGTTGTTGCTGCTGATGCTGCCGCTGCTCTAGAACTGATGGTGATGCTGCCGCTGCTCTAGAACTGATGGTGATGCTGCTGGTGCTGCTGCTTCTACCGGCTGTGCTTGTGGCAGTGGTGAGAGGCGAATGGTTCACTAATATTAGTTTCACAACTTGGCGTTCATGTGTGTGTGTATGTGTCTGTATGTATGTCTGTCTTTCTGGGTGTTTGTCTGTCTGTGTCTGTATCTGTCTGTCTGTCTGTCTGTCTGTGCATGTGTGTTTGTGTGTCTGTCTGTCTGTGTATGTGTCTGTCTGTGTGTGTGTGTGTCTGTCTGTGTGTCTGTGTGTCTGTGTGTGTCTGTGTCTGTCTGTCTGTCTGTCTGTCTGTTTGTGCACATGCTTAGGTTGTTCCTGATGTGTTTGGTTCCTTGGCTGATGACGTGGAGCGTAATGGTGCCACTTGGAAAGAGGTATGTGCACTGTAGGGTCTCTCCAACCCCCTCCCTGCCCCCCCCCCCCCCACACACACACCAGGGACATTTGACCCATGCCACCCCTTCCCCCCCCCCCCCACACACACACCAGGGACATTCGACCCATGCCACCCCTTCCCCCCCCCCCCCACACACCCCCCAGGGACATTCGACCCATGCCACCCGTCCCCCCCCCCCCCACACACACACACACACCTCAGGGACATTCGACCCATGCCACCCCTCCCCCCCCCCCCCCCACACACACACACCTCAGGGACATTCGACCCATGCCACCCCCTCCCCCCCCCCCCACACACACCTCAGGGACATTCGACCCATGCTACCCCCTCCCCCACCCATCCCAAGGGTCAACACCAGGCTAATGTCACCATTAGCAGAGGTCAAGCACTTGTGGTTCATTGCCAATGGGCTGAACTAACAGCCTAGTCACGAAATGCCTCTATTCAGCATGTACAGATATCTGTGTGGTTAAACCTTGTTGGTGTCTGTTGCATGCCTGTGTGTGTGTGCGTGCGTGCGTGCATGTGTCTGTGTGCGTGTGTGTGCATGTCTGACTGTCGATCTGTCTATCTTTCTGTGTGCGCATTTGTGTGTGTGTGTTAATTATGTGCATACATATCGCATACAACTTCACCACCTCATTCACAATCCTCCTGATCTGCACCACTATTTATTTGTGCTACCCGCAGTGGTTTGACTCTGATATGCCTGAGAGTACGTCACTGCCGGGCAAGTACGAAGCGGCCATGAACAACTTCCAACGGCTGCTGATCCTGCGCTGTTTCCGCGTCGACCGTGTGCATCGCGCCGTCATGAACTTTGTGACCGACCGCATGGGAGAGCAGTATGTCACACCGCCCGTTGTCAGCTTTGAGGGGATCTTCGAGCAGGTGAGTGCAGTGGGTGCTAGCTGGCTGCTGTTGTGTGCTGTGCTGTACTGTGCTGTGCTGTGCTGTACTGTGCTCTGCTCTGCTCTGCTCTGCTCTGCTCTGCTCTGCTCTGCTGTACGATGACAGTTCTGTGCTGGTGTTGGTTGCTTGTAACAGCAACGCCTTCGTAACGACATGACGGACATTCCGTGCACTGTGCTGAGGTTTTTTGTAACCATGCCTCCGTAATGGGATTACGGTGCAACAAAATAAATGACAAGCATTTCGCGCCCTGGGGCACCAATTGTGGAGGAGAAGTATTTGCTGTGTGTCTGCATTGCTGTTCACCCCGTGCGCCAATCTCTCTGCTAGTCCATTTGGCTGACTGGATAATAATAGTGATTGGTTGGCTGTGTGTGTGTGTGTGTGTGCGTGTGCGCGCGCGTGTGTTTTATGTGTGTGTGGTGTACACCTGCACAATTGCTATGTGTGTGTATGTGTGCTGTTGCTGTTGTTGTTGTTGTTGTTGTTTCTATGGTTACGTAGTCGACCCCTACCTCACCAATCGTGTTCATTCTAAGCCCAGGGTCCGACCCGGCTGGTGAACTTGGCAAGCTGGCAGAGAGATCTGGCTTCGGAGGAAACCGACTCAAGTTCCTCTCCATGGGTCAAGGACAAGAAAAGGTAAGGAGAGCATAGACTGAATTTGAAGAGAACACATGGCAACGAGTTTTGAAGCAAACTGTCCAACCATCATAAGTCGTTCCTATGCGTTCTCTTCTTTTTCCACATTTTATTACTGGCTCAGTATCGTAGTTAGAGTAACGCGTGCTTGTTGAAATGTTGTACACGAGGTATGGGTATGTAGCTCTGTCTGTGCATATACATGTACGTCTGTGTGTTCTGTGTGAAGGGCTTCATTGCAAAACGAGATAAATCAATTTTCAGGAGGAGCGATTTTCTGTGATCAGCAACTGGGTGGGTTTGGGTCAAATCTAACTCAGCAGATGAGAAGAGTAGGGTGATGTATGCAAATACAGGCTTTCTCGAAAATCAGGGGCCATCCATTATCTCAAGCAAGGTGATTCTTCAACATTTTTGGGCAAAACCAGATATATTCGCCGGACTAATCAGTATTATGAGATTAGAAAATACAAGTGCAACGACTTCACTGAGTTCCGAACTCTGAAGGAGCTCAGCAGCAGCAGCAGCGTCGTCCATCCCTGACGCCTCTAGCATACTGCCCTTTGCAGTTTCGAAAGCGAAAAAACAACAGCTACGAAGAAGATGATACGAAAAGATCGAAATGACAACGGATGTAGCTGCTACAAAGCAACAACACGAAAACACTGTGCTTTGAACTCTGACATCGACATTTTGCACAGACTCAGTCTATTCGCGATGTTTGCCACGTGCTGCGCCAGCATGCACTCGCTGGCTTGTCACAGATCACGCTGGCCCGCGCGACAGGATATGTCGCACTTTGCTCGAAAACATCGGTGGTGTTTATCGCGTTTTGCAGTAGAACGTCAACTTCAACGTTGATTTTCAGTGGGATATGTCTCGTTTTGGAGAATTCTTTTTGGCCACCAGATGCAGTGATCCCTACTGATTCGATTGACACCGAAAACGCCATATGCATGAGATTGGCGTTTAGCGCGTTTTGCAATGAAGCCATTCGTATGTTTGTATGTATCCATGTCTGTGTGTTCTGTATGTTTGTATGTATCCATGTCTGTGTGTTCTGTATGTTTGTATGTATCCATGTATGTGTGTTCTGTATGTTTGTATGTATCCATGTCTGCATGTTCTGTATGTTTGTATGTATCCATGTCTGTGTGTTCTGTGTGTTTGTATGTATCCATGTCTGTTTCTCTGTTGGGATGAAAGCAAGAGTATTTCTAACCCTGTATTGGTTTTTCCGTGACAGCTCTTACCCAATGTTTGTATCGTTTGCAGTGGACACCGTGTATGAGCGTTTGGATTGAGAGAAACACGCTGCATCTGTGTGAGATGAGATGATTTTCTCTGTATGTTGCCTGTGTCACACTATCTAATATTTACTTCCTCTTCAATTGTTGCTGCTGCTGCTGTTCCTTTTGCTGTTGGTGTTGCTGCTGCTGGTCCTGCTGTTATTGCTGCTGTTGCTGCTGCTGCTCATGCTGCTGCTGCTGCTGTTGCTGCCGCTGCCGCTGCTGCTGCTGTTGTTGTTGCTGCTATTGCTGCTGCTGCTGCTGCTCCTGTTGCTATTGCTGATGCTATTGCTGCTGCTGTTGCTGCTACGTCTTCGTTGTCATTGTAATCGTTGTCGTTGTTGTTTGTATTCCCTTCACCTGTGTTGTCACCGATAGCTTGCTCTGAGTTTGTTGGACACGGCAGTGACACGAGGACAATGGCTGATGTTACAGAACTGCCACCTGTTGGTCAGATGGTTGCGAGATCTAGAGAAGGCCTTGGAGAAGATCGCTACCGGCAAGCCTCATCCAGACTTCCGCCTCTGGTTGACCACTGCACCAACACCAGACTTTCCGATCGGTATTTTGCAGCGGTCACTGAAGGTCAGTTTTCCTGCTGAGCATTCTTATCTGTGCTGCTGTTTTTGCGTGTGTTTCTCGGGGAGCGGGGGGGGGGGGGGGGGAGGGGGTTGCGTTTGCGTGTGTGTGTGTGTGTGTGTGTGTGTGTATGTGTGTGTGTGTGTGTATGTGTGTGTGTGTGTGTGTATATGTGTGTGTATGTGTGTGTGTGTGTGTATGTGTGTGTGTGTGTATATGTGTGTGTATGTGTGTGTGTCTGTCTGTCTGTGTGTCTGTCTGTGTCTGTGTGTATGTGTGTGTATATGTGTGTGTGTGTCTGTCTGTGTGTCTGTCTGTGTGTCTGTCTGTGTCTGTGTGTATGTGTGTATCTGTTCATTCCTGTGTATGTGTCTGTCTATGTGTGTTTAAGTTATTTGTCTACACATTTGACCATATTACCATCTGACAAAGTGACCAGCTGACAAAGTGACCAGCTGACCCTCTGAGTCTGCCTATGTGACCATGTGATCATGTGACCATCTCATCATGTGATCATGTGATTATGTAACCATGTGACCATCTGACCATGTAACCATGTGATCATGTGATCATGTGACCCATGTATCTGTAGGTGGTGACTGAGCCGCCGAACGGGCTGAAGCTCAACTTACGTAACACGTACCATCGCATCACACCGGGTTCACTGAACGAATGTTCTCACGCCGCCTTTCAACCACTGGTGTACGTTCTTGCCTTCTTTCACGCTGTGGTTATCGAACGGCGCAAGTATGGCAAGATCGGGTGGAATGTATCGTATGACTTCAACGAGAGTGACTTCTCCGTGTGTATGAAGGTCAGTGCAGAGGCCAGAGGGTGATTGTTGTGCTGGGAGTGTGTAGTTTGATGCGGTGATGTGTCCTGGCCTCGCACTCCTCTGTTTCCTGTGAGTGGGTGCATGATGGGTGTGAGGGTGTGAGGGTGTGTGTAGGGGTACGGGTGTATGATAGGGCTGTGAAGGTGGATGACGGGCACATGGCTGGGTCTAGGGGTTGTAGTGATGGGCATGTGTGTAGTGTAGAGGTGTGTGAGGGAGGGGAGGGGGGGGGGGGGGGGTCTAGGGGTTGTAGTGATGGGTATGTGTGTGGGTAGAGGTGTGTGAGGGAGGGGGGGGGGGGGGTCTAGGGGTTGAAGTGACGGGTATGTGGGTACATGTACGGGTGGACTGATTGGTGATGGGTGTGTGGTCCTATCAGCTGTCTAGCAAACCATAGAGCAATGTTAGCGAGCAATTAAATCCTCTTGTTGACACTGTGTGATTCTGTTACTGTCCACTGTTGTGTGTGTAGATTCTGGAAACGTACCTGAGCAAGGCTTACGAAAGCGGAGACACCAGCATACCATGGAACAGTCTAAAGTATCTCATAGGAGAGGTAACCCGGGTTAACTATACATCACTTACTTTCTGCATCTACATCTTATGTAGCAAGAAGGAGCCACGGGTCTCTGTGTGTGTGTGTGTGTCTGTGTGTGTGTGTGTGTGTGTGTGTGTGTGTGTGATCCCCAGTAGCCTAATCGGTAGGGCACTGTCCCTGAAAGACAGGGATGCTGGGTTCGAATCCTGCTCGTGGATCTTTCTTTTGCAACACTTACACCGCCAACGGGGTAGTTGCCATTGGCAACTAACTGAGAACTAGAATGACTATCATCATCGGCTTTGCCCCGTGTGTATACAGTGCAAGTGTGATAGAGGCTCTGTGAGGAGCAGCAGCAGCAGCTGGGGTTTGCTCTGTCATTTAGCTGCTCGTGTAAGACATACGTGTTTCTCCAGGCCAGCACAAGGGCGTGTCTGGCAACGTGAGAATCCGTGTGTCTGCGTGCATGTGTTTGTTTGTGTGTGTGTGTGTGTGTGCGTGCATGTGCGCGTGCATGGGCGCGTGTGTGCATTTGTGCGTCTTTCCGTCTGTCTGTTCCCAGGTAATGTACGGTGGGAGAGCTATAGATGATTTTGATCGTCGTGTTCTCAACACCTACATGAATGAGTACATGGGAGACTTCATCTTCGACACCTTTCAGCCATTCCACTTTCATTGCCATGGTGATGTAGATTACAAGATTCCGGAAGTACCCGAGGCGGCAGAGATGACACGACCAGCCAAGTAAGAACTTTAAGGGGTCGTCGCAAAAGTTTTTTTTGTCGTCCCTGAAACGATCAATATTCATTTGGGGGGGGGGGGGGGAGAAGGGGTGGGAGCGAAAATCGCAAGTCGACTGACACTGCACATATTGACATGTACATGCATGTGAAGTTTGTCTTCCAGCATAGAAAGCTTCGTTCATTTCAGAGTAAGGTTAGGGGGTCCGAGTACGAAATGAGAGAGGTCATGTGAGATTGTGCATCAGTGATTTCAGTGTGTATCAGGGGGGCGGGGCGTGTGTCTGTCTGTCTGCCTGTCTGTCTGTCTGTCTGTCTTGAGGTGTAGTGGGCGCAGTCAGTTTTTCTCCTGGTTGTTTTCGTATTATAACTCCCTCGAACTAATGAGCGTGTGTGGTTGTGTGCATGATTGTGTTTGTATGCATATACGACGTGATTCTGTGTGTTTGTATGCATGTTGGACGTGATTCTGTGTGTTTGTATGCATGTACGACGTGATTCTGTGTGTTTGTATGCATGTACGACGTGATTCTGTGTGTTTGTATGCATATACGACGTGATTTTGTGTGTTTGTATGCATATACGACGTGATTCTGTGTGTTTGTATGCATGTACGACGTGATTCTGTGTGTTTGTATGCATGTACGACGTGATTCTGTGTGTTTGTATGCATGTCCGATGTCATTCTGCGTGTTTGTATGCAGGGACTATTACGTGGACTACATTGAGTCTCTGCCGCTAGCCAACGCACCAGACGTGTTTGGTCTTCACCCGAATGCCGAGATAGCTTACAGCACCAGTGCAGCACGCAACATGTGGCTACAGCTGGTGGAGCTACAGCCACAGACCGGTGACAGCGGAGGTGGTATTAGCAGAGAAGAGTTCATTGCACGTATAGCCGGCGATATCCAGGTACGGTTGTGGCGCTTGAGAACGACGAGATGTTCCACTCGTTTTCTTCTTCATCCTGCTCATGCTCTTAGCTCCCTCCGCTGCTGCGGTCGTGTATTTAGTGACTCGTTCGGCACAACAGACGAAAAAGGCAGGCCATTTCTTACTTAATACCGCGATTTTCAGACAGAGAGAGAGAGAGCGAGAGAGAGAGAGAGAGAGAGAGAGAGAGAGAGAGAGAGAGAGAGAGAGAGAGAGACACACACACACACACACACGCACGCACGCACGCATGCACACACACACACACACACACACGGAAAACTGACATAATGTACATATTTGCTACTGCCGCCACCGTGTGTTTTCCTTGTCTTGCTGTAGAACAAGCTTCCGAAGACGTTTGAACTGGATCGTGTTCGTAAACAACTGGGTACAGAGCTCAGTCCGCAGTCGGTGGTGCTACTGCAAGAACTGGAACGGTTCAACAAACTACTCAAGAAAATGTCCTCGTCTCTGTCCAGCTTGCAGAAGGTATGACATGCGCATGTGCTGAATTTATGTGTTGTAGTGTCTCTGTTATCGCAGACACCAGGGGACGGTTGGTTAACTCATGTTGCAAAAGGAAGGGGTCCAAGGGGTGGAGCTCAACTCCATCACCCCTATCCTACGGGGTCATTGCCCTACCAATTAGGCTACCAGAGATCACACACACTCACCAAGTACCATGTACCATGTATACGCCCGTCGCAAGAGAAGCACGAACATCTGCAAATGCACTGGATGTGCACCCACAGATATTCTCTTATAGCAACGATAGCGAACAAGATGTGAATTAGACAGATCAAGACTAGCGTCAGATAACTGTCCAATCCGCACAACCTGCACACACACAGACACGCATGCGTGCGCGCACACACACGCACACACTCTCTCTCTCTCTCTCGCACTCACACACACACATGTACACACACACACACACACACACACACACACACGCGCGCACACACACACACACACACACACACACGCGCGCGCGCGCACGCACACACACACACACACACACACACACGTGTACACACACACACACGCACACACACACTAGGCCCCATTCTCACTATAGGCTATACTCATGTGTTTTGTTATGTCTGTGTTGCCATGGTGTTATTCCGCAGGCACTTGCCGGTGAGGTGGGAATGAGCAATGAACTTGACGAGGTCTCAAAGTGTCTGTTCAATGGGCAGATACCTGGCATCTGGCTAGCCCTGGCACCGGCTACGCTCAAGAACCTGGGCAACTGGATGATTCATCTGCTGAAGCGCAACGAGCAGTATTCCCACTGGGTACGAACATGCAAGTCATCCTAGAATAGGGCTACGAGCCTGGTTAACCACATCGGCACATCTCCACTACTTCCCTTTGTCTTCTTGTACAGTGTCACTTCGGTTGTCCAGCTCTTTCCATGATTATTAGTAGGGCTGTGTTTGCTAGTAAAAAAATAAAAAAGTAAGGAGCTGTTCATAGCAATGAATAAGATAGAGTGCACAATCATTCTATGTTATCATGCATCTATTTGTACACACAGCATCAATGAACGATTGGTTGTCTCTAAGAACAGGGAGAGGAGAGGAGAGGAGAGGAGAGGAGAGGAGAGGAGAGGAGAGGAGAGGGTCTGTTAATTGTTTTACTTTATAACCCAGCGTACGGTGATCCACTTCCACGGAGATTGCACAATGCAATGGGATGCAGCTTTCATGCGGCAACGAGAGGACACGTTTTATACTCTATTTGTGTGCATTTCTTTCTCGTTTTCTGTCTTGCCTTTGCGTGCTGTCTACCTCCTATTCCTCATTATATCCACTTGGATTGCTCTCTCTCTCCTCGTTTTGTCAATGTTCCCGTCACTCATCTGCAATCACCACCACTGCCACTCGTCGTCTGCCGTTACCGCCGTCACCATGACCACCGTAACCATGGTGACTACTGTCCAGGTGAACGACGGTGAGCCGATAGTGATGTGGCTGTCGGGACTGCAGATCCCGGAATCCTATCTGACAGCGCTGGTGCAGGCCACGTGTCGCAAGAACGGCTGGCCGCTTGACAAGAGTACGCTCTATACAAATGTTACACACTGGCAGAATGCAGATGAGGTAAGCCGACAGCCACAACCACAATGCTGAGAGGGGGGGGGGGAGAGGGAGGAGGTAGCAGGGTCCAGAGACCAGAGGTGGGGCGGGGAGGGGGAGGGAGCAGGGGCTGGAGAGTAGGGGGGGGGGGAGGTAGCAGGGTCCAGAGACCAGAGGCGGAACGGGGGCAGCGAACGTTCACGCGAATTTTCGTTTGACGTCACGAGAAGCGAAACTTCGTGCGAACGTTCGCAGTTTGAACGCGAAAGTTGCAGGAAACGCGAAACAAACTTTCGCAGTAATTTTCGCTCATCGCTGACCGGTGGTGCACGGTGAGCCACCCTCAATCCTCGTTTTTGTGCTTGACCTCTACCCTTGGCTTGGTCCGCGAGTGCTGGCTTTCCCATACTCCATAGATGTGGCAGCCCGTTGCTTCATCTGCGGAATGATCTCCGATCTCCTGCCTGCTCGTCTTCTCACTGCTCAGAGTCGGTTACATCAATGATGACTTTTTTTGAATTTCAGGTGTTGATGCGCCAGATTACGGCACAAGCCAACCCGTTTGTCTGTGGGTCCCGGACCATGGACAACGTAGTCAGAGAGCTCTCTTCTTAGGCAGTGACTCGGGGTGACGCCACTCGCAACAAACAAATAATCGGAGGAAGACCATTTCTCGAACAAGCGCAAATGTACGCGTACTTTCTTGGTGCGAAAATCTTGCAAAACACAATTTAATGTCACGCGAACCTTCGCAATAGTTTTCGCTAGCCGGAACGCGAAAATCATTGCAAACTTTCGCTGTGCAAACCCCTCTATTAATCGCCTGTGTTGTTCATCACTCACTGTGTTCTACATGTGTGTGTGTGTGTGTGTGTGTGTGTGTGTGTGTGTGTGTGTGTGTGTGTGTGTGTGTGTGTGTGTGTGTGTGTGTGTGCTCGTGCATACACAGGTGCAAGAGCGTCCATTGTCTGGCTGCTACGTCACAGGGCTGTACTTGGAAGGTGGAATGTGGGATCCGGAGCGTAACTGCATAAAACGCTCGCTACCCAAGCAGCTCATTCAGGACCTACCCGTGCTCAAGGTGACGCCGATAGAGAGTCACCGACTCAAGCTGCAGAACACGTTCCGGACGCCCGTCTACACGACGTCACTGCGACGTAATGCCATGAGCGTGGGCCTGGTGTTCGAGGCGGATCTGTTCAGCCAGGACCACCCGTCGCACTGGACCCTGCAGGGTGTCTGCCTTCTGCTCAACACCGATTAGACCAAGTCCATACATGCATAGTATTAGTTTTAGTATTAGTAAGGTGGTGATGGTGATGGTGGGTAGGTGTTATGACATCATTATGACATCATCATGACATCATGATAACATCACCTATGACCTTAATATGACATCACCTTTGATGTCATCGTTACATCACCCTGCAAAATGGTCAACACAGACTCCATAGCATATTGGCATTGTACATGGGGCACGGGCGCGGTTATGACGTCACGCTCTCCAGCAATGGTGCCAAGAATACAGCGTTCTGTTTGCTTGCAATAGCATACTATATACCTGGCGCACCATCACTATGTTCGTTTCGTCATGACAACTGGTGAACAGTGCGAGCACTCACTGCATTCTGGAACCATGATTAAATTAATTTTTGTTGCCGGACTACATGTTGGCTGTGTCGGCGGCATGCATACTCTGACTTGCATATTGTGTGTTTGTCCATCTGTGTAATTAATCTCCTTGCTTATACACCTACATCCACTATACTGATATGGATGTTTTACTTTTGAGCTGCTCACAAATGCCATATTTGCGACCTGTACCAGGTCAAAATATTTTTTTAATCATTTAAACACGTGAACTGATGTCTGTCTGTTCAGGTTATGTTTCCCATGGCAGTGTTTCTGTATTTGCTCCTGATATTTTATTCTCGAATCCCTTTATAATGTTTCTCGTGGTTCTTTGTTATACATCAGCCCAGATTCCCCTCCACATTTCCTGTCTTTGTCCCGGTGGATTTTCTTACAGTTATTTGTTATACATCAGCCTAGATTCCCCTCCACATTTCCTGTCTTTGTCCCGGTGGATTTTCTTACAGTTATTTGTTATACATCAGCCTAGATTCCCCTCCACATTTCCTGTCTTTGTCCCGGTGGATTTTCTTACAGTTATTTGTTATACATCAGCCTAGATTCCCCTCCACATTTCCTGTCTTTGTCCTGGATTTTCTTACAGTTATTTGTTATACATCAGCCTAGATTCCCCTCCACATTTCCTGTCTTTGTCCCGGTGGATTTTCTTCGCATTGCCAGTGTACGCATGTGTTTGTTCGGAATCACCAGAATTTTATTCAAGTATTTACTGGTGCTTGTTCAGAATTGCCGGAATTCTCTTTGAATTGCCGAAGTTTTGTTCTGAATTGCCGGAGTTTGTTCTGAATTGCCGGGTTTGTTTTGAATTGCAGGAATTCTCTTTGAATAGCCGGAGTTTATTTTGTATTGCCGTAGTTTGCTCCATTTACATGTACATAATACATGTCTATCTGACATCTTCTGACCCTCTTTGTGTCCAGTCAATTGTCTATAATATTCACTAATAATATTTTCAAACTTATTCTATCATATTCTCTGCTGCTGTCGCTCTAGCTTGTACTTGTAAGTACGTATGGCATTTTGCTCTATGAAATCCAGTCCCGTCACTCAAGTACACGCCAGGCGTTGCTCAGTCCTAGACCTGTGAACACTGTACTTGGCTGTCAAATTGTACAAGGCGCTAAATTGAGTCACGTGACTGGGTTTCATTGAGCAGCTGTACTGTACTAGCATTACGACCTTTGTGTATGTTACAATTTCATTTTAGTGCTGATAGCTGCTGCTCGCCGGGTTTCCAGGAGATGTGCTGTGCAGGGCCAGGGGTTTGTCTGACTGATTTGCGCTTGCGCTTGCTTGCGAGCTGTAGCCATGTTTGCCATGCCAACTCTTTTGAAAATGTGCTGCACTCACCTTGTCTTGCGTTAGCATCAAGAATACAATCATCATGACTTTTGTGATCTTGATCACTCGCTGTATACTCCTGTAGAATGATGCTTGAATAGTCCGATCGTACCGCTACATCACACAGTCGTGGAAATTGAAATACGGACCCCCCCCCCTTTGCAGTGTGTACTAGTAGTAATAAGCAAGGCATACAGCACACACACACACACACACACACACACACACACACACACACACACACACACACACACACACACACACACACACACACACACACACACACACATACACTTGTACTTGCTCACTGCCAAAACTGGTCACGTGGGTCTCCCCGGGAGAGGGGAGAGAGACTCAAAAGAAATCTTGGAAAGATGACTCAATTGGCCATTGAACCGCCCAACGGCCGACACCCCCTGAAATCCCCAAAATAGGGTGGACTTGATATGATCCCACTGATGGGCTCACCACATGCACACCTCAGTAAGTGGGTGAGGACAAGGTGCAGAAAAAGGATTGACGGCATCAGGGTATCCATCCGGGGATCCAACTGCAGTTACCCCTGCCCCCAGTGAAGGTAATACTTGCTACTAGTGTGGGTGGCTAAATCAGAGTGGATCTGATATAAGCTTCACTAGCACCATTGATTACACAAGAGTTAATCTAGCCAGAAGCAGTCCATGGTTAACACAGGTATGTATACTTCAAATAGAAAGTATATGAACCCTGAAACCAACAAAGGTGGTAGGTACAACCTTCAAGCAGCCGAGCCCGTTGGCAACAGGCCCAACACTATCTGGCATAAGTGTACCCACCAACCGAACTAGCTGGCACACACACACACACACACACACACACACACACACACACACACACACACACACACACACACACACACACACACACACACACACACACACACACACACACACACACACACACACACACACACACACACACACACCCCTAGCCAAACAACACTGGCCTTGGAGTTGGACATTGTCATTCTCCTCAACAGGACTATGACTGTATGACCAGGTTTCACTTTTATCTTTAACCACGCCCGTGGTTTGTTGTTGACTGGATGCTGCTAACAAGACACTCACTGTCTGTAGCCGTTCAGGTGTGTTGGGAGCAGGGCCCTGTGTCGTGACTCCCGTATCCCTGGACAGGACCTCTATGTCTCTATCTCTATACTCTCGGAGTACGGCGGCACTGCAATATCCGGACAGTGGTCCACCATTTAGGGGGGTGCACGGGAGGCCGTTGCGGATAATGCCGGCAGAAAAATTGGCAGAATTCGGTACTTTTTCTGGTACGTTTCATGTATGTTTGGTACGTGGATAAAGAAATGGAGCAGAATTCGAGGAATTGCCCGCCATGAGGTTTGTATAGTTCTGCCAAATTCACTGCTTTTCGAGCAGAATCTGCCAAGGACTAGTGCACGGTGGGAATACTCTTGAAGTAGCTTGTACATACAACAGTGGTAGGTTTGTTATTTGACAGATGTACAAGCAATACAGCAACACAGCTAGCTACAAGTACAATGATACTGGACATTGCACAATAGCTTTCCATTCCCGGTTCACCTCGGAAAAATTGACAAAAAATCATTCAGTACATGTATGTGCTAAATACCCCAGACAATATAGGTCAAACGTTTTCAGGTGAGGGACATGTCCCTGTGCCCCTCACTGGCTGGGCGACCGAAACCTGAACAAGTGAGTAATTAAATGCCAGTATTTTAATACTCCCCGCCGGTAAAGCCGGATAACGTCCCTTTTCTATTCCTCTGATTCAGGTGCAAGATATCTGTTATGTCTTACTCTTTCCTGAACCAAGACCTGCTCAGCAGAGGCAAGCCGGACCTCTCGAGCCGAAGCCATCTGGACGACCTAAGAATGTTTGCCGCGGATCGCAATGGATGGCGGCAGATAATCTGAAGGAGTCGCCACAACTGCCGGATATTGACATACATATTGGACAGAGCTAGAGAACAGCAGCGGAAGCATGTATAGCACGGCTGTGCATGTTGTACGAGTAACTGTGTTATTATTATTATTATTACTCTTTCAAGATGTCATGTTTGTAGCAGACAACAAACAACGAGAGGAGTACTAAGTTCAACAACTTATCTTGATGAAGGATTGGAACAAGAATGAGCTCCGCATGGCAAAGGCAACAACGTGATTGGAAGCAGCCATGTTGGAAAATAGACCATAGTCATGCGTGAACATATCAATTTTTACTACAATATTCCACGTACATATGAGGGTTAGAGGTTTAGTGGAAAGATGACAATGCAGCTTCAAAGTTGTGAAAAATATTCTATTCACGAGATGCAAATATTGGCAAAGAAACCTGCGACCACTTTACTACATACAAGTATAATTATTTCATTGTGTAACCTGCGTCCAGTAAAGACATAATGCACTATTTTTTTTTAAGGAGAAACCACGAACCTCGAGAACAGAATACTGCATGATAGAGCTAGAGGTGGTTGCAGATGCAACTGTGGTGGTGAAACTGGAGCATCTCCGCCGACCTGAGGTCTCGGCTTCAGCGACACTTCAGTGCACCAAAAACTGTGGGGGGGGGGGGGAGGGAGCAGGCACAGGGGGAGGGGAGGGGGGAGTACATTTATATAGAGGAAGGAAAATGGAAAGATGATAAATGTGGCAGAGTAGAAAAATAACAAATAAAATGGGGGGAGCCAGGGTGCAAGCGGAGAGGGTGTTCAGGGAGGGTTCAGAGAGCATCTGTGGCTGAGTGCCAGTCTCGACTGCGGAGAGACTTGTAGGCACCACTAAATTTCTCTCAAAGACAGTCCACAATCATTATCGAAACAAATCTAAAACGAAAATATACAGGGTCCAAAGTTCAAAGGTCAAGGGTCAACACAGTAACTCCTCCAATTGACTGCAAACGAAGAAAGGAATGTCCAGACGAAACATAAATACACACACACACACAGACACACACACACATACACACACACACACACACACACACACACACACACAAACGCACGCACGCGCAATCCGAAGAACATACACAGACGGACTGTATGGCTGGAGGAAGCGAAAGACTAACAAGAAGCTTTCTTCATCAGGACACAAAATCTGTCTTTGAAAATTCTCTCACCTCCTCATTCATCACTCTCATCACTATTTCCTTCAGCGTCGTACTCATCTTCTTCTTCGTCATTCTCCAACTCGTCGTGCCAGAGAAGGTGCTGATACTCCACATTCAGATCATCTCTGGCCATGCCACTTAGAACCTCATGCAGCCATGGAGACAATAGAGCTCTTTCAGGCATCACCAGCTCCTTCAGAGACGAGCAGCTCTCAGCAGCGGCGGCGAACAGCTTTGCTTCGTCGTCAGCGTCTCGGAAATCATTCCTCGACATTTCGAGATTGGACAGCTTTGGCAGACTGGGCAGCAGGGACGCAAGCACCGGCAGAGCTCTCGACGAAAGGCAGTCGTCGTCCAGGTACAGCTTCTCCAGTCGTCGGCATTGACTCAGCGCACCGCGAACGGTTTCCAGGAAATCTCCAGTTAGCTCATTGCGCTGGAGTGCGAGGCGCTCCAAACTCTCGTGTTGCTGTTGAATGATTCGACAGACGATCAGTGCGGAGTTCTGCTTCAACCCAACCTTGCACAGCCACAGCCATCTCAGCCTCAGTGCTCCTAACAATGGTGCTAGCTGGGTTAGACCTTCCATATCCAGTACGTAGTCTTCGAGACCGACGATCTGGAGATCTGGGCAGCTGCTGCAGATTCTAGTGATGACGTCAAGGTTGACGGCTGGATCGGTGCACTTTTGACCTCCAAGACCCACTACCAGCAGTCCCGTACAGCGGTGTGCGTTGCTGTGGACGGTGGCCATAGCATTGCTGCTGAAGAGGTTGTAGGATGTGTAGACGTACTCCAGTGTTGACGTGTTGGATGCGATACACGCTGCGATATGGGCCGTGTGACGATCTGTGAGGTTGTTCCCCTGCAGGATGATGAGCTCAAGATTGCGTAGTAGAGCCATGCCATCAGCCATGCATGCATAACCAGTATCACCTATACCACAGTTACGCAGGCTGATGCTGGTGATGAACTGGTGGTGGTGACGGATGACTGTGTTGATGGCCTGACAATCCGCCGGTGTGAGAGGAACGCCGTCGAAATCTACTCGGCCGTACTCCGTGAAGATAGCCTGCATGCTGTCGATGTCTTCGATGCTGGTTTGCTTGGCGTTGGCGTGCTCCTCGAAGACCCGGCAGGCGTAGAGGACTCGTTGTTTTCGTTCCGCGTCACTGACGTTCTCCAGAGTCGTAGATGGCTGGGCTGGTTCGTCGGATGGAGGAACTGGAGGTAGCTTTGACGTGGGAGTGGCGGTGAAACATCGAATGGCCGATCCCTGCGCCTGGTGGGCCATGCAATCGTGCAGCTTCTGTGTACTGGCACTGGGATCGCGATCCGTCCATATGGGTAGCAATGAACGAACGAAATCCTTGCAGGTGATTTTGGTGACGGCTGGGTCAATTTCGAGGCGGACCACTTCAGGAGCAGACAATGCCAGATCAATCCTGCCACCCAGCAATTCTTCTGCAAGATGCTCTGCTTCGTCCAGCGAGAGAAAGGAGGACACATGGTCGGCCCAATCCATGATGTGGTCGTGTGTTGCGAAGAGAAAGCACGAGATGTTGTGCCCCTCTGCTCCTGTGGAATGCTGGTCGGTATCCTGTGGCTGAGTAGACGATGTGGACTGCGGATTAAGAATGGCTTCGATCAACACATTGACGGACTCGCTGTCCAGCTCTGTGGCCAGTAAGCGCCAAAACATGTTGAGACTGCCTGTGAATGCTCCGAGTCGCTGCACAAGCCAGGAGACGTCAGCTGCACTGGGAGAGCGGCTAGCGATGTAGCGAGCTGCTAGAGCTTCCTGAAGTGCCAGGTGGCTGAAGCGCCACTGAATCTTGGACAGTGGTGATGCCTTGTCGCAGGCGATGAGCATTCCAAGTGTGCGAGCTGCTGATGACAGTGAAAACATCTTGAAGTCGGCTTCGGTGAAGACGACTTT